ACGTCATATTTTTCTGTTTTTAATTTGTGGCTTGTTATCATTAGCACCTCTGGCAAACTGCCGGCTTTTCTTTTCTTGATGTTTCTCACTCTGATCCACTTTTTTTCACGGCTCAGTTCTTTATTGTCATTCTGTGAATATTTCTTCTGTCTTTCTTGGAGTTGCATTCTAAGGTTTGCAACATATAACACAAAATTTTGAAAGATTTTCTCGTTAAAATTGCTCTTCGGTGTGACTAAATTGTATGTTCAAGTTAGCTGTGGTTTATGAAAACAATTGAAAGATGATTGGCATTTAACAGAATACTATATTTAAGTTGGAAAACACACTAACCCATGTCTATTTGCGAAATACTACTTACAGTAGAAATATTTAAGTTTAGAGCTGCTGCCACACCCTCAAATAAACAAGAAATGAATGTCATATTTCTAGACATTTCTATAATCTTTAACTTACTTCTCTTACAGCAGTTAAGGGTACTAGTGGCTCATCATTATCAACTTTTTTCAAAATACTGTATCAACAATAAAAATGTGTTTTTTTTTACATTTTGTATGTAGAGTACCAAACAGTTGTATATTTTTGTATTTTGAATTCGCGATTTACAAGGTTTTTAATAAAAACAACTTTTTTGTGAAAACAAAAACTTGGGGAAGAGAAAAAGTTTCCAAGTTTAACTACTTTTGGCATCAAGGAATAGCCATACCCAGTTGTTGGTTCTAGACGTTGGAAGTTGATGGTAATGGTTCTGGAATGGTTAGTATGATAATGTAGGAATTACAAAATACGGATAGATCAAATACACATCGATGACTGAAAAGAGCAGGGTTTTTTAAATAAGATTAGAGTATTAAATTAAACGAATAAGCCTATTCTATGATTAGACATCAATAATAAATTGATGATTAACTCAGGTCAAGGCTTTGGACATAGTGACACCAACTAGTCTGAAAGTATTACAATCAGAAACAACATGATTGTTCAAAACCGCAGGTTAGTAAGGTCTTCATCATGGGAAAAAGTTTTCAGATGTCAGGTTCGATGAATTTAACGTCTATCATCTCCAAAGTTGTGGGTATAATTAAAAGTATCTGAAGGTATAGATCCTCAATATTTAATAGGAACGGTATTCAGGACTAGTAACTAAGCTTACAATGAATGAATTTGTTGTAGATAGCAAAGTAGCAGTGATCAACAGCATTGTTGCTATGTCTCATGTCTCACGTGATCGTAGCCTTTAAATATACTGTACCCTGTTGAGCATTAGTTTCCTAATATAATCTGTGACTTGTCTTTAATGCCCCGCCCACCATCTCTTCACGCAGGGATATTTCCTCCACAACCTTTGGCAATGATCAACAAATTAAGTTTCCAAAGACTTTTATAAATAGACAAAATTCAACAACAAAAACACATGATAGATCTGGTCTGTAAGTTCACTGATATAAAAAAAAAAACTAAAATACGAGTAGAACGTTTAGTTCTACCCGTCCAGGGTTTCAAATGTGGGTGGAAAAAAATAGAAGATGAATGTAGGTATATTTTTGAATAAATTGTAAATATTATGAGCTGTTTCATTTGAAATGTTTGTCTAAACAGCTTCGTATTATACAGAGAGCACTGTACAGATTAGATACCTACGTGTTCCATGGCATATAAAGTAATAAATTAAGTACATAATTATGTAAATAATTTCATTGAAATAAAGTAATCTTATATTCAATTCTATTTATAGAACTTACGACATATTCAGTTAGTGTAGGTACTATAGAATTGCAAAGCAAACCTGTTTTTGTTTTCGTTTTGGCGCCACTTTTTAATTGGAAGAATTGCATTGGAGACTTTGGAGAGTAACATTTGAGTGGTATAGATTAAAAATTACAAATGTAGAATTAGAATTTTCAATTTAGATAAGCGTTTTAATATATTTTGGAAAAATTGTTGCATAGATATAATTATTATCTAAGCGATTAATTTAATTGATATTTAATTTATGTATATTGAAAAATATACAGCGTGTCCGGGAAAATGTGGGAGTGTCAGAAACTGACAATAAAAGTATTTAATCTGTTGGCAACACTGTATGGTTGGCACTATTGTTTTTGAAAAGACAGATGTCACTCGTCATGTCAATCAGTGTTAACCGCGTTAACCTAAAAAGTTGTATAAAAAGTTTTGAAATATAAAAGGGTCATAGTCCTAAATAAATCTCCATTTTATATAAAACTGGTCTCCACATTCATTTTTAACATCTAAACCTAAGTTTAACAGGGAGGTCTCTCAGATTCAGATATAACATTAAAAAATAAGATGACAAGTTCCTATAATTTTTTTTCCTAGCGGCTCTCCCTACGGAGATACGGCCTTCAAAAGGACGCCACTGGAAATAAATACTGCCCAAAACATAATTAGCTGATTTAGTTTACTAGGGGCGGACTAGTTTGTACATTTTAATGCTTACATTTTGAACCCCCTATATGATAAGGAGTTAAAAACAATAAATTTCGATACCTTGAACACTAAGATAAAGAAAAGGAACTCTTCTTCATTGTCAATAAAATGAACCGTTTTCGAGAAAAAAAATAATAGAATTTTTAATAAAAAGAAACCAAGATTACCAATTTTTTTTTGTCTGTAGCAAAGAGTGATACGAAAGTCATTAAAATAGAACTTTTATCAGTATTAAAAAACAAACTGTTTTTACAAACGTTACTATGGTACCTACGAAATAAATAAATGAATAATTGCATTGACGTGTGCATTTTAAATCTTGTTGACACGGTAAATTTAATTCTATAATGGGATACACATTTAGTGAGTATGCAGATATTCATCTTATGTATGTTCTTGTATCTTGCAATGCTTATGAAGCAAAAAGGTTGTATGAAGAAAGATATCCTAATCGCATTATTCCAAATGAGTAAACATTTTAGCGACTTGACCAACGTCTAAGAGAGACTGGTGGGTGATTCCCAGTTAATAAGGTAACATTATTGACTTTCTTTAATAATTTTTAGGAAAACAAGTATTGATGCTGTTGTGACAAGAACATTACGTACAATTGGAGGAAAATATTTTGGTTACTGTAGCTGATACTCCTTTAATAAGCACTCGAAGATTAGCCGCGCAGCTTCACGTGTCAAAAACGACAATTGCTGAAGTACTTAAAGAACAGTTGTTATACCTTTAGCATCTGCAAAAAGTGCATAAACTACTTCCTGAAGATTTTCCTCGAAGAATCCAGTCCGCAAACTGGCTGTTAGATCAGCAACGAACAAAGGGAAACTTCATTAGCACTATTCTTTTTACCGAAGAAGCAGTGTTTACCAAAAATGGCATTGTAAATTTACATAACTTGCATATATGGGTTAATGAAAACCCTCGTGCCAGTGTTGTTCATCATTATCAACATCAGTTCCAATCAATTAATGTTTAGGCAGGAATATTCGGCAATTTTTTGAATGGACCATGCGTATTGCCGCCATGATTAAATGGTTAACTTTATTTACAGTTCCTTCAGAACGCTTTCCTGGATCCAATATAGCATTTTCCCGCCAAAGCATGTATTTTAGCGTCGCTGTACAGGACCACCTGAATAACGTCTATCGAAACCGTTGGATAGGCAGAGGATGTCCAATTGCCTGGCCTCCACGGTCTCCCGACCTAACGTCAATGGATTTTTGCCTGTGGGGTCATCTCAAAGCCTTGCTGTACTCCTCTCCGGTTAATATTAGGAAGGAACGTTTACAGAGAATCACATTTCATTGTGAAATGATAAGGAACAATGCTGGGTTGTTGTGCCGAGTACAGCAGTCCTCTCTATTCGTCGTCCCGCGAGTGTATTAGAGTTCACGGAGCACATGTTGAACCCACTTATTAAGTTTTTAATTGATTATTTCTAATTTGCGTATTTAGGTTCAATCGTTACAAGCTTTAGTGAGTTCAGGATGAAAACATAATACTCCAAGTTGTATTTTAGAATTTACCAATTTGAAATTAGCTAATTCTGGGAGTTTTTTTAATAAAAATAAAATATTAATTCTTTTATTATTATATTTTCTCGAAAACGGTTCATTTTATCGACAATGAAGAAAAGTACATTTTCTTTAGCTTAATGTTCAAGGTATCGAAATTTATTTTTTTTAACTCCTTATCATAGAGGGTGTTAAAAATGTAAGCATTAAAATGTACAACCTAGTCCGCCCCTGGTAAACTAAATAAGCTAATTATGTTTTAAGAGCAGTATTTTAAGAGGTTCTTACTACTGTTTATCATACTAAATTTTCATTAAATTATAATACGTAGTTTGAAAGTTATTCAAGAAAAATTGATTTCCAGTGGCGTCCTCTTGGAGGCTGTAACTCCGTAGGGAGGGCCAGTAGGAAAAAAATTTGTGGGTACTTGTCATCTTATTTTTAATGTTCTATCTGAATCCGAGAGATCTCTCACATTTTCCCGGACACCCTGTGTATTTTAATAAATACACCAAACTTCATTTTTTAAATGTTTCTTGTCATTTTCCAAAAACAATGAAATGTGACAAATGTGTTGGCAAAAACTTTCCTAAATGCGATTTAATACTGATCAAATACAGAAATCTTCTAAGTAATCAAAATTTCGAAAACCGATATGTGAATTTGCAAAATTTAAGTGTGGAAAAGGTATTCATGCTCCCTAAGTATCGACGCAATATTGGTGTCTGATTAAAGACTCTTAGTAGCTGTACCTCAGAAACTATTTATTTTTCAAAAAAAAAAAAACTGTTAAAGCCGATCAAGAAAGAATAATGGAATTTATTTTTAATTTTCTATTTTCGTCGTTCGAGGGCGTAATTCGCTGTGGTAATGCAAAAAAAATAGACAGTATAATAATAATGAAGGAACCATAATTTTGAGCAAATTTTACAAAAGTTTCATTTAACACTTGTCTTAGATAAGATTAATAGTTTTTGAGCTAAAGCCGATGAAAGACGAAAACAGTTATGAAAAAAATGTTGATTTCTAACCTCTAATCCTATGAATATGCTCATCAAACTGCGAATTACTCCTGACAAACGCAAATTTGCTGGCTTCGTTTTGCTGAAACGTCTGAGTCCTATAATCACTGTACCACTCAGAACTACTACTAGTCACTTTCGAACTATTGCTACCCTCATCCCACTCGTCCCGCCCCTTTTGGCTCTTAGTAGGGCTCTTCAGGCTTTCCTCGGATGGAAATCGTCCCGAAGAACCAGCACTAGAAGGAGATGCCAAGTTTCCGGTAGACTGCGTCAAATAAGCTGAATCGAGGTATTCTTCGGATGGCGTCCTACTGGTTGTAACATGGCCTGTGCTGGAGGAAATATGGCGGACTGACGTTGAGGATGAGCTCGAAGTAATGTGCTTGATGGTTTTTTTGACAGTTACTTTTTCAAATTTAACTGATTTTGAGCCGGTGGCGAGGTCTCCTTCTTGAGATGTGGACGTATAGGTTTCCTAAAAGGTTAAAATTAGGTTGGTTCAGGAGACTAAGAGGTACATGAGGTTTTGGACAATTTCTGAAAGTATGTAAAAAATATAGCTACGTATACATTCATAACTATTATAATTCAAATAATTTTACAAAACTATTGAATCGATTTGTTAAATATTCTTAATATATTCTGGATAGAAGATATTTTTGAAGATACATAAAACCGTAGGTTTCCAAACCATAACTGTTGGACTCGTTAAAGACCCCTTTGGTTGGTACATCAGAGAGTTAGGTAAAATTTATAGTTAATGGCATCGGTGAGTAAATCTCATAGTTAAAAGTTTTCAATTTCTTTAGCATTTTAAACAACAAACTTGCTTGAATAGAACAGCTTAATGTCAGTTATAACAAGAAATACTTGATAAATAAATCCTTCACCTGTAAAGTTACTAGAAAGAACAAGATTTAAAACGGAATCTAAATCCTTTCATGCTAAGTCATAGCTATTACGAATTCCTTAACTATAAGATGAAACTAGATCGAGGGTTTTTTTTTTTTTCTAAACAGGGCACTCCGCTCGGATAACGTCACTGAGACTTTACCACTAAAACTTTATCTTTACTTGGGCTTCCACAAATCGATAAAAACCAAAATATATTTGGAGCAAATGGTCAAAGGGAATTCCAACCATTTTACTTCGCAATCACGCGATGGTTTAAACAACGTTTCTGTATATGTCGCTCGAATTTTTTTAGTTAATAAGTAATGCCATCGTAAAAATGTACGTCAAAACCTTTACAGAACGTTCTTTGTGTCAACATGTAAATATTTAGTTAGGAGATAAAAAAGTGAAAATGGAAATGTCAGTCTGGATTTTGTTTATATCCGTTTTATCAATTTATATGCAGGTGAAATATTGGATATAAGATAAAAATAATCCGATTATAATTTAAGATCATTATTATTTATGGGATAATAAGATTTTTCTACTGCTATAAGCAATCTATACTCAGTCATGCGAAAAATTAAATAATTACACTATGCAGGCTGATTTATATTTCCATTAGATATTCAAAAAATATCCATGTGATGTCAAGATAAGTTCAAGGCAAAAAGTTAAATATACGGGATGTGCCCGTATGGACTGAAAAAGAAAAGGAATACCTTTTTCATTTTCACCTTTTCGAAATAATGTTATTCTTCATAAAAGTTTTTTGCTTACTTCAAAACTTACAATAATGTAAATAAAAGTTGAATTTATATTGACATTAATAAAATTATAACAAAAATGTTAAATAAAAAATAATGTTTTTCATTATTTCACTAAAGCAAAGAGATATTCAACTTTAGTTTGAATTATTATTATTATTATTATTATTATTGAAACAAGCAAAAACTTTTATATAGAATAAATAACATTTGCTACAAAAGTTGAAGTCCATCCAGAGAGATGGTAATATAAAAGTGATTTGCAAACGCCAAAAACGTTTAAAAAACATATCTATGTAATATTTTTTTATCGAACCATGTGTAAGCTATGTTAATTAATTTTTTCTACGACCACTTAGGAAAGTGACACATATTACACTATATAGTCCTATGGAAAGTGTCCTATTTCACACGCGTATGAATAAGAATTTACTTTCCACCCGTGTGCGAATATGCTACTTTCCGCATCAGCTGTCACAAAATGTCAAACGCATCATTTCTATTTTGATTTATGTAATGTCCATATTAATAGTAAAATCGATATGATGAATAAATTATTCGATTAAATAACTCATTTGACACAAAACGTGTTAACTCAGTGGTTTGTGTAGTAACGTAATAACTTGCCTTTCAAGAGGCGGCTGTCGGGCCTACGTTCGAATCCTGGTAGATGATACAACAACTTTTTTTTGTTTTATCCTGGTTTTATATTTTTTGATGAAATTATTTTGTGGTCGTAGGAAAAATATTGTACATCACTTGTGTGAAAAGTGATTTTCCACACTCGTGTGATAGTCGCACTCGGCTTGTGCCTCGTGCGATAATATTTCTCACTCGTGTGAAAAATGTCACTTTCCACACTCGTAATATAATATACTATAAAATAAAACCAATCAGGCCTTAATACAGAACAGGCTTACACGATACTTCAGAATAGCATCACATAAAGGATTAGTATCAAACGAATACCTATGCAAGAATGCTTTATTACTTATCACGAAAAATTCATATCCGACCCTTTTCTTGGTATCCTCGGCACCTTACTGTAATGCGAGCCATTTCATTATAGAGTCATGCTCTAATCCTCCAAGTCCCTATCTTATTTGGCCTTTGAGTCTTAACTTGTCCGATTATCATACATAATTAAACCCCTTAAGACCAAAAATATGTAACGACTATGGCGAAGGCGCCTTCGAGTACATTCCAGAACGCGATAATGTTTCTAGTTTTTGGCGAGAGAACATTCTAGATCCTTCATCAAAATTTTAAATGTGTATATAAATATTGGTGGAAGAACACGGGGCAGTCAGTCGTATACAAACAGTTGTGAAGATAAATAGTGAACAGTTTAAAGACATTCGAAATATACATAAATTAGAATAGTATTGTTTAAAATAAATAAGTATTTAACTAAATTATTAACAAATAACAATAACATTACATAACATGGACGTATGAAACATGAGTCTCACTGACAGTCATAACAGCCCAGTGATATGGCGAAACATCCGACTGGCTACACATGAGAGTAGACATGTTTTTTTGGTGTCCAAATATGTTTTTATTATCAAAAGTTATGTATACAAGAATGTATATTTCTTTGACAAGATGATCGTTTCAGAGTTAGATATAACATGAATTAGCACCCACATAAAAGTAATTTAGTGATTTTGTGTCAGTTGTTTGAGGACTTATTTGTAGTTCTAGATATTCCTAGAGTCATACTTAAAACAATTGGGAGCAATTACCTGTAAGTCTGATAGCTTATTATAAATGCTTGGGTCCCAGATATGCCTCTTTCTTTACATTTGAAACTAATAGCTTAAAGAGGCTTTATCTATTCAAGAAAATGCAAAATTTGCCTAGTGAAGCAATTCATCCTCTTTACCTTACAGATATAGATACATCCTTTTAATTTACAAATTGTCTTATAATGTTCTATTCTTTTTCCTTTTTTTTTTTGTTTTTTTTTTTTCGACTATACCATGTATAAGTCACTGTCTAGCCATGTGTATCACTCTTCTTATCTCTGACCTAGATTGGATCTACAGCAGCGGTTCTCAAACGATGGGAACCGGCACGGCAAGATTTAAGAGAGTAGCGCGAAGAATTAAAAAAAATGCATCGATTACTATTGGCAAAGCTTCTTCGAAGGTACCTCATCCATTTCATAGAATATCTCTGTACGCAACCCTCTCTTTGTTTGTGTAGACAATAATTGTACGTGTAATAAGTCATCTTATTTCTCCGTGCAGTCTAATAGGACGCCTATCTTTCTCGGTATTCAACTCCACCTGAAACGCGGGCTGGCCAAATTTGTCTGTATATTGTAACAACTATTGTGTTGATAGTAATTTCTTTGCAGAGAATATTTTTATTTATTACTTAGACGACGGATTCTAAAGTTTTCTTTCTTATTAATTGATTAACATTATTTGAGGGTCATCTAGTGGAATTATTTTTTAAATAAATGATTAATTACATTTAAATTGATTTTATTTATATTCAAAGGTGAAATAATAAAGGAGTTTTAAACATTATATTATTGATCGTATTTTTTATAAATAAACATAATTGTTTTTATTATTATTATTTCTAATATTCAAAAATATACACTCCGCCGCGCGAAAGCTTTTGATGGCTTTATTTATGGTATATTTAAAGAAAGAAACTGATTTTTGGAAAGTGCTTTAATATGCAGTGGTACATAATATAAAATATTTGTTTTTTTAAACAAAATCGCATCAATCTCACAATTAATTTGTAGTGTAAACGAAAAATTTGTTGAAAACTATTTTATCGTATACAAGTATATTTTATTGTACATAATATACAGGGTGTCCCAATAGTGTGTGGAAGTTCGATATATCCTATATTATCTAAAATATCAAACAATGTTATTTACAAAAGTTGTAGATAATATTAACTGCACATTTCAAAATTATTTTCGATTATACAGAATGATCCATAACTTCAGAATTGATCAAACCTATGTTTTTTTAAATATATCGCCCTGTATTTAATTGTAAATTTGAATTCCCTGACTTTGCCCTTCAAGAAAATACCAACATGTATAAGGTTATACTGGGTATTTTGGACGTTTAAAAAAATGTTATATGAAAATCGTACTAGGTTCAACCCTCTGTATATTTCAAAAGAAACAATCGAACATCAAAATTTTTTGATGAATCATTTTTAATGATAGTCTACTTTTATAAGAATATACTAATTTTTTCCTAGCGCAACAGATGTGTACAGGGTGAGTCAAAACTCAGATACATGATTTTCTCAATTTTTTTAAATGTAACATCCTGTATTTCATATCACTACTAAAAAGTACTCCAATTATACATTCGTTTGAGTTAAATATTGCCTATCCCTAAACACAACAGTTAAGCGAGATTCTTAGATGAAATGTTAAAAAGTGTTAATTATAACTAAATTCACAATGTAATTTGATTTAAACTCCTGTTAAAATACACTGTTTAATCAGTTTAAATTTTTAAGATACCTAGCTACAATTTATTATCAGCTGAATTTACTTTCTTTACTTTTAAGGTTAGGTTCACCCTGTATTTCATATCTCTACTAAAAGTACTTTAATTATACGTTCGTTTGTCCCTATCCCTAAACACAATAGTTTAGAAGACATTTTATATTTGAATAAAAAAATATGAGCCAATAATAAGTTACTTTAATTTTTTTAGAATGCAACATAAGTATATTAAAAATAAAAAAAAGCTATTATAAAAGCTGCTCAAAGTGACTCCCTCCAACTGCAATACAATGTTGTAATCTAGCTTCAAATGATCTT